ACAGACCTGGTGATTTCGGGTTTTGTATCCCCGAGATAGCCTCTAACTCCATCCTAGTCCTGTGAAACGTTGTTGTCACTTCTTCTCTCAAGGTATTGTTGTTATTCCTCTCTTGGATCCTGACCATCTTTTTCTCTTTTCCGCTATTTTTCAATTCGTCTGATTGCATTTTTCTCGATTTCTGATTTAAGAATCTTCTGGTTTTTTCTAACGACTGAACCGACTGTATCCGCTGACGATTTTGAGATATAATGATTTTTGGATTTTCGCGCTTTTCTCGTTGAAATGAACGCGAATCTTCATTTCTTTCGTTCCGGTCGTGCTTTGTCCATTTTGGACCGTTTTGGTTGCTATAGCAACGGGTAGATGACGTGTTCTTAATCGACATATTTTGATCAATTCTAGAATATTCTAGAACGTTTTCGTTCCGGTCGAGCCTATCCTGATCATTTAATCGACTGTTTAAACAGTCGAGAGCTTTATGGAAACTTTCGATTGATGTAACTACGAATTTTTCATCTAATACTGACTCCGGCCAGGGTTCCCCCTTCGGGTTTCGAGAAAGATAATCTACTATACCCATATCTTTTCCTGGTAAATGAACAACCTTAAATTGGTAAGGTAATAGTCTGTCTACCCATCTAATTAATCTAGATTGGTACGTTTTATTTGATTTATTTTCATCCAAAGCAGAGACCAGCGCTTTGTGATCTCTAGCGATTACGAATTCCTTGCCTAATAAATAGTGTTTAAATCGATCAACCGACCATACAATTGCAAGCAGTTCAAGCTCATTTGTGGAATATTTTTTTTCTTGTGTGTTTAGGTACCTGGAAGCGAATGCGATTGGTATCCACTCCCCCTCAGCGTTTTGTTGTTCTAGCGATGCGCCCAGCCCACTATGACTGGCATCACATTTCACCCTAGTGTCTAAACTGGGGTCATAATAATGAATTTTTGTTATATTGGCAACCGCTGTTTTTATTGACTCGAATATTTCCGAATGTTCTTCTTTCCATTCGAATTTTTTTACTTGAATTTTTACACTTTTGAGTTTCTTTTTCTCATTTTCTTCGCGTAATAGTGGTCTCAATTTTTCTGTTAGCGTAGCCGCATTTGGGATGAACTTGGCCAGATGATTTATACTACCTAGAAATGATCTAAGTTGTTTCAGTGATGTTGGCGGGCTAAGTTTTAGGATCGCTTCTGTTTTTGTGATTTTAGGAGAGATTCCATCCTCCGATAACTTATGCCCCAACCAATTCACTTCCTGTTGAAAAAATTCACATTTCGACAGTTTTAGTGCCAAATTCTCTTTATCTAGCTTTTTTAGGACATTCATAATCAATTCTTCATGTTCTTGTTCACTCCCTTTTGATACAATAAGTATATCATCAAGAAAATAGAACGTGTTTTCCGCATGATTTAATGTTCTGTCCATCGCTTTTTGAAACTCTGCTGGCATGTCTGCCAAACCATAAAATCCTGTTAGGAATCTGCATGTACCAGTGGCTTGCCCACCTATGATGTTGAAATTGCATTGTCTCGCTGTCTCTGCAGTCAACTTTAGTTGACTGTACGCGTACTTCAAATCTAGTACTGAGAAAAACAGTTTACCGTTTGTGTTCGCTGTGACAATTTGGCTAATACCGTCTATCAATTCGTCCACATTTGGCATTTGATATTTGTTTTTAAACAATTGTCTATTGATGGGTTTGGCGTCTAGCGCCAACTTTATGGAATCATCTTTTTTCACTGTTATTACAATAGGTGCTATAAAACAATCACTAGTGCATTTGTCTAATCGTTCTATATGCCCTTCTTTTAACAGTTTTTCCATTTCCTCGTACACTTTCTCTTGTATGTGTATCGGAATGCGTCTCCCCTTTTCTTGTAAAGGGCAGAGTGGGTATTTAAACTTTGTGCTAACCACATGGCTTTTTGAGCACCCTTGACGATCGAAAAAATTCTTAAATTTACTGTAAAATTTGTTTTTCCAACCTTCTGACTGTTCGCACAGTAAGACATCAAACCTCGTCTTTTCTTTTGGTGCCAACTTCTGTGTTGTGTGTATTCCCACTTTGCTCTGTAAATCCAGCCCCAAAATACACCGTGTGCGTCTTTCTGTGATTAAGAACGATGCTCCCACCACTTCCTACCCCGCCGAACGGATGTTCGTGGTGATTGCACCCAGTATGTTAATCGGCTGCTTGTTGTAGTCTACAAATTTTGTAGTCAAATTGAGATTCTCCCGTGGAATAAACTTGGTATTTTTCGAAGATTCTAGAATCATCTTTGCAGTCGCCCAGTTCAAGAAAGATACTGGACTACCCGTATCGATGGTCATATTTATGATCTGATGATCGATTCTTACCAGAGCCTTTAGTGACCTTATTTGTTTCGATCGAGTATTTCTTCTGATGTCAACCTTCTGTACATCCTTTCTGTGCTTGTCGGTTTCTTTGTTTTTATTCGATTGCCGTTTTATATATTCATCAATTTCTTCCAGCGAAGATAGTTCTGATTCGATCGACATAATTTCGAATTCCTCACACAATTCGAATGACTGAATCAGATTACACTCTTCATCTGAGCTTGATGATTTTTCTACAATCTCATTCACTTGTTGTGATTTACACATTTTAGCGAAATGGTTCGGTTTAGATAATTCTTACATGTTTTACCCATGGCCGGGCATTTCTTCAGATGTCCTTCTCCGAATATTCGACCACATCGGGTACACGTCTTTGAATCTGCAAAACTTCTCCCCTCCTTTCTGTCTTCAAATTTCTTTCTATACCCACTGTTTGCTTGTCTTCTTCCGCTAGCATTTTTGTTACCGATACTCATTATGGGTTCTTGTTTTATCTTCGCTGCCCCATTTACCTGAACTGTACTTGCAGTTGTTGCGTTAGTTTTCTGAAACGCCTGTGTTGTCTGTTTACTTTGTTCAAACTTTAACGCTCTTTTCAGTACTTTTTCCGGTGAAAATGTTTCAAATGTCAATGTGTCTTGTAATACCACGTTCTTCATTTTCGAGATGAGTAGGTCCCGCACTAATTGATCCTCCAGTGTTCCTAGCTCAGCTTTTGCTGCTTGTGCAGTTAGTGCTGCATGAAATGCCTCGAGTGTTTCTCCAGTTTCTTGTGATCGATTGAATAGTTTATAACGTTCATATGTAACACTCTGTGATTTGTCAAATGACACTTTCGCCAAGGCCACCATCTCTCGAAATTCTAACTTTGACACTTCCACATGGGGGTTCTTTTGAACCAATTTCTTCTTACCTTCTGTACCCAACGCCAAGAATAGTCTCGAAGCGACACTTTTCTGTACCTCGTTGTAGTATACGTTGTGACCAACCTTTGGACCTCTAGCTCTTCTTTCTTCATTTTCCAGGTTAATTTTATCTCTAGCTAGTTGATCTCTGGCTTCTCTATCGGCAATCACCTGTGCATTTTCGTTTTCCCTTGGAGTTTCGGGTCTTGGTAACTGTTCTAACAGAACTTCTTTTGGTTCTTGCAACAAAAGATCCGGGTCCACGCCCTCCTTCACGGTCACTGCCAAAAAAAATTGATCTAGCCATATCCTAAAATTCCAGGGAGGGTTAGAGTTTGCGGTTGTCCAAAATACTGGAATCCCCATGTCCGTTCTGTTGTCTTGGGACAGGAATCCTGCTGGCTGCGCCATGTGATAGCTGTTGGATTAACTCAAGTATTTGTAAAACAGAATAAGTAAAACGTTTTAATTTAGACTGCTAAATTGTCTTATTTTAGATCTGAGATCATGCTTGTCTTTTCATGTCTCTCTCTCAACAGCAATGTCCTAACTGACTATTGCGTTTGGCCTGCATGAACGGCCTTGAATAATAATAACAATACATAACAGAATAATTAAGAGCACTATTCTCAGAGGTTACTGTGGCAGCAGTACTACACGGTACCACATCTTCAGACAAATTTCGACTTTTTAACTAGCCGTTTTTAAAGGAATTTTTTTATATTATTCGAAAGCTATTGTTTTCCTGAGCTTGAATTTGAAAAGATATTTTACCTGTGATCATTTTTCGTAAAATTATGGGCTTTAAAGATTGCCATTCTGGCCAATTTGGGACAATTAAATCGCGATAAATTTCGCGCTATTAACGCGTAAGCAATATTCAATCCGTCTTAGAAATCGTTCCGAATTGGTTCAAGGAAGCTTAAATGCCATAATTGATTTGTTAATAGGCGCAAAATTTATCACTTTGTACTTAATATGACGTGTGGGGGGATGATTTTACATAAAAGCTCAAATTTTTTCAAAAAATTTTTTTTAATTTTTTTTATTAAATTGAAATTTTTCTTCTTATTAATGCTCCATAGACTTTAAAAGGTAGTAGGAACTTTCAGGGCTTCGCCCTGATACGAGCAGTCTTGGTGTTCCGACTTTCGATACGAAAGTAACGAATATTTGTGCTCGGGGTGGGTTTTTTTTTCTTCAGACAAGTTTCGACTTTTTAACTAGCCATTTTTGACGGAATTTTTTATACCATTCGAAAGGTATTGTTGTCCTGAGCTCAAATTTGAAAACATATTTCACCTGTAATCATTTTTCGTAAAGTTATGGGGGTTTAAAGATTGCAATTTTGGCAAATTTGGGACAATTAACGCGCGATTTTTCGCGCTATTAACGCGTAAGCGGAGAGTTAATCCGTCTTAGAAATCGTTCCAAATTGGTTAAAAGAAGCTTATTTGCCATAATTGGTTTGTTACAAGGAGCGAAACCTATCTTTTTGTACTTTATATGGCGTGTGGGGGGAAGATTTTCATAAAAAAATTTCAAATTTTAGAAAAAAAAATTTCATTTTTTTTATTTCATTGAATTTTTTAATTTTATTACTGCTCCATAAACCTTAAAAGGCAGTCGGAACATTCAGGGCTTCGCCCTGATACGAGCAGTCTTGTTTCATTAAGAACCACTTAAAGTAGATTTCTCTTCGACTTCTGCCTTGTGTTTAGGTCTTCAGATGACGTTGCAGTGGGAGAGTGAGAGTTCCAAGTGCTTCGAGGCACATCACTTATACAGCAAACTGGACTCTGAGACCAGCTACAGGTATACTTGAAATTTGGGAAGGACCTTAACAGAAGCTTAAATTTGAGTTATTTTTAATATTTTTGGATGACACGAAGGAATCAAGCACCTTAATGAAGAGATTCACATTCTTTGCCTCACTTATTTTGCTCCACGTACTATATGCTATCTGGATGATATGCGATACGCTCTCGTCAACTCAGGGACACCAACTGTTTTTTGAGATGCCTGCCAACAATCAGAGCGAAGCAGGCCCACCACCAGACAACTCGAGGAGATTTTCACTTAAATTTAGTACTAAACAACGAAAGTTAGGAATAAATAATATCGAATAATATCTGAAAAAGCATACGTGTGAGTCAAGATGAACCAAATGCGCGAGAGGCCAAAACTGAGATTTTCCAACCTGCCACATTGCTTTCCAATAACAATCATATTTTATTTCCAATACTAAGGTCATACAACCAATTCGTCTAAAAAAACATCACTTGAGAGTAACCTTTTTCTTCTTTGTTTCAGATTGATGTTGTCGGAACAGGGCGTGGCCATCAAGAATGCAGCTGAGTTCGCGTGGAAGTGCAAAGAGATAGAGGAGCAGACAGTGGACGCCGCCCCTGCTATACCCCAATATGTGCTAGACCACATTAGGAAACTACAGGTATCGGTTTAGGCCAAGAGTACTTAACTGAAAAATTTGTTTTTACCGTGAGAAAAATACTATTCCTGCTAGCAAAATTTTACCAATTTTTTTTTTCAAATTAGTTATTGTGTTTAAAATTTTATGAGAAAACTGCGGTATAGTTTTACCTCAAAACTTTCTGAGGCCAGAAAAAAATACTGGGATTTAAAAACAGTTACAATTGCGGCGTCCAAGACGCATAGGGGAAAACTTCAGGGAAACACATTATTCTTACACAGTGGTTAACATTAGCAAACATATATTTTACAAACAAGCAACACGCCTGGGCTGTCCGATTTTTGTCGCAAATTAAGACGGTCGAACGAACACTATAGCCGAACAAAGTAGTCGAATCATGAATAAGCTGATGTTCAAACCATAGACGACAAATGTTTGGCAAATAACGTAATTAAATCCTACGGTAAATATGTAAATCTCGATAATCACATGAGATCATTTTACAGAACAGCAAACAAGTCACTGCTACGCCCTTCGAGTACAACAAAGCCCCGGCCCCGGCGGGGATCGAAGAGACGGTGGTGGGACTGCTGGGAGCCGCACCCGGGGGGAGAAAATTGAGTGCGGTGATACCTCCCATATAAGGAAAGAAGATAGCGTGACAGATATCAGGAAGAATAATAGTTTATCATCTGTTGATATGATTAATCGACCAATGCATGAAAAAATGTACAAAAAAGTCGGTCGAATCAAAGATTTATTTCCTAATTTCAAACTTGTGAGAAGCGAACTACTTATTTACTACAAATCCTCACAAAAATAATGCGCAGCTCTGTGGAAAAGATCTATAAATTGTTGGAATGGCCAAGTCGATGGAGCTCAGATAATCACTCTTTTACTTATGCATGTAAGTGAAAAGGCGTTCTTTGACCATTTTGTGCAGATTGTAAGTTTCCATAAGCTATTATTCCTTTCAGCAAAATTCAATTGTTTTTCATGAAATTTATTTGCCTTGCCATCAGCAGCATCACTGCTCATTAAATGGAACTCGAGCACTTTCAATTTTTTGTTGATGAGAATTATCACTTGTTGGTGGCAAGTCTTTTAATAAATTTTCTGCTTGGCAGCTTACGCTTGTTAAACATGATTTAACCATGTTCAAAAAATGAAATTTATACATATGTGGAATCAAATGGTTTTCTCGCAATCTCAACTTCTTTTTCTATCTGTCTTTTTTATTTATTTCAATTTAATTTAAAGAACACTCCTGGTTTTCACTCTTTACGCAAAATATTTGATTGCTTAGAAAAACGAAAAATTCAAAATGGTCTGTTATTATGTTCTATTTCAGATTTTACTTCCCAGGTCGAGGTCCGGGACATATGTCCAGACTTTCGTAATTTTAGGCATGTCCAGACTTTCGCCACTGAAACTGGTCATTTCCAGATTTTCGCGACCAAAATGATTCGTGGCGACTTTAGCGACCGATACGGAGATGGCGCGACCCATATTTGCCATTTCTATTTCCAGTCTTTCGCGACCGAAAAAATCAGCCGCGTATTTTGCGATCAAGAAATATCAGCCGCGTATTTTCCGAATCAGGAAACGGCGCAATCGACGCGACCAAACTCATGCAATTCCAGAATTTTGCGACCAAGTTTGAGACGGTGCGACTTTCGCGACGAAAGCAGAGACGGCGCGACTACTAAAAAACTTCTGTCCAGTTGGGAGATTTGACATTTATCTGAGATTTGCAAGGAGGGTAGCTTGTGTGATTATGACAGAAATACTCCTGCTTGAGATTCAATGAATGTGTTAAAGACTCTTGTATAGATCGTGATATTTTTTTGCTGGCAGTATCAATTCGTTTGTTCACGCTCCGACTTGATTTTTCGTGCTCTGACTTTAGATTTATAATTAAGGCCACACTGTTATTTTTTTTCAGTTATTGAATCTAAACGAAAATAAATAACCTGAGTTTTTTTATTTAAACGTCTGCAATCAATTTTTCACTTGATTGAGCAAATTCAAAACAAATTTTAAAAAGCTAAACACCAACACAATTCGCAAGAAGATTTTTCAATTTTTGACGGCTCTGACAGCCAATGTGGGCATCTCGATGAGCATAAAGTCTCGATGAGAATAATTGGTGAGGTTTACGCTGCGACCAGGTCGTCTCCCAACTTGCATATTAAAAAAAACTGATTGTTACGATTTAACTATAAGTTCAAATAAACCTCCCTCTTTTGAGTTCTTTGATTATCTGATAACATCCGAACTCCAATTATGAAGATTTTGTTTATATTTCCCGAAGACAGCGTGAGAAGTCATTTTTGTTTCATTTGAACAGTGCCCTGTGCGTTGAATTAAATGGACTTCCGTAAAAAGCTAATTTGACAGACAAGATTTGGCATTTTTCTGGTTCTAGTTTTGTTACATCTTTCTCTTCAAGTACGTTTCATATTCTGGCATATCACATCATATGAAAACAGACAGATTCGCAGAAATTATTTCATCAGGTTTTCTGCGAACTTCAGCAACAGTGAGTAATAGTCACAAGCTAAATATTTTCGCTAAACCAACAAAACAAGAGACGAAATCATCTAGAAAGAATAAAGTATCTGAGCGAAAACCAAAACCCAAAGAAGCAGAAAACGTACAAGTCGAGTATAATAATTTTAACAGAGATGCGAAGAAATTTTCAATATTCGAAGAAAAAAACATGGAAAGCAAAAAATGGAAAAGCAGCATCAATCAAAAGAAAAACATCGAAATTTAAGAAAGCAGGAAGCAAAAAATGGAAAAGCAGCACCAATCAAAAGAAAAACATCGAAATTTAAGAAAGCAGAAAACGCGCAAGCAGAAACTTTTTAGGCCAAAAAAATTCAAGCTGAATTTTAAAAAATCTCAAAAAAAATCAAGTTTATTGAAAATTATCAAGACCTCCTCACCTTCATGCAGAAAACACACACATAAAACAAAATTTCGCTCATAGAACGATGCAAAGTGAGGCCACTAAGCCGATATGATTTATGCAATACAAGTTTTACAAGTTTGATTATTGAAAACCTATGAGGGCTATTGAATTTTTTCGAATTGTCTCGTTGGAGTTCGACCAATTTCATTTAGTAACATCGAAATTAAAAAAAACGCATGATAAAAAAGCCGACATGAGCAAAGCCGAGCTAACTCAGTGGCGAAAGTCTTCAGGATATTTTTGACACTCATTAAAATTCATTTAGATTTCTTAGCGTTTACCAAAGGTAAATATCTAAGTAGTTCATAAACTCCAAATTTGCCTAATTCAGCTGTTATAGAGTTTAAGTTTGAGGATTCTGCGAACAAAGTTGCTTAGGGGAAAAAATTCTAGTACCCGGTGGCCATAACCCTGCTTATCGCAAGTGAAAACTAGAAGACTCAATCAACGAAACTTGAGACCATGGAGAAAACTGATGACAAAGCGGCAAAGCAAAACCCGGCAAATTAGAACCCGACTAGTCAACTTTTGTTCTGAAAAAACTCAATTTCAGACAATGAAAAAAATGTTCCGGCCAGTGCTCGAACGCCTGGCAGTAAGTTTCAAAGGCAAGTGCGTTTCCTGCAGAACCAGAGCGATGGGGCCTGGAGTTATAGTAATGAAGCAACATCAATGTCAATTCCAAATGTGTAAGAAAAGTTGTTTACAAGAAAAAAGGCTAGTGCCCGATTACAAGACACTTGATCTCGCAAGTTTAAGTATAACATATTACTTTAAAGAATCAAAGAACACATTCATTTATCTTAAAAAATCATACAACACAAAAAAATTTTAAAAATAGGTCGCAACAAAACAAACTATAAGCAGACAATTCATAAGCCGTTCATTTTTTGATTTTTTTTTACTATTTTAGCTGTTATTAGCTATTTCTGAAGACAACAGGTGCTGATTGGATTCGAGTGAACTCGCTTAGCTAACTTTTTTAGAAATTAACTGTAGCCGATATCGTAAAAAAGGAATTAGTTTTTTTTCTGAAAAAGTAACCTGAAAAATTATTTGAAATAAGTCAAAAAAACAACCAACACAATCATAAAAAAGTTCTTACCATTGTCTCGGATGATGCTCGTAAGCAACCCTAACACTCATCATGTATCAATGACCGGATGGCAACAAATGTGACAAAAGTTGGATCAAACATCAATAAGATTAGATGAAAAAAAAATACTGACTAAATTGATCTAGAGATAGTTTTTTTAATTGAGCAGTTTAGCTTGTAAAATATAAGAGAAACGGAAACACATCCAATTAGAGATATACTTGCAATGTAAGAAATATGCGCATTTAAATAGATAAGACAAATGATTCAACTGATTTTGTTAGGCTACTTGATAACCCGAAAAGGTCTATACTCCAATTAGATAACGCTTGCAAATCGCAAGCGTAAAAGTCTAATATAGAATACTAGACTAGAATACTTTTTTTTCTACAATACGTCAAGTTGAATTTCTGGAACTGTATTAACATCTTTTTGTTGAGTTTTGCGAATTTAAAAAATTCGAAGAACGCGAAATGGCTTCAAAATTTTTTTACTTGGGTTTGGCACAGAAGATTTATATAAATGTATCATTACCAGTCGGTCAGCAAACCGAACAATACCTTACTTCTTCGTACTTTAAGCAAAAAAAAACAAAAGAAACTAAACTAAACTAAGGGTACAGGACTGAACAAACTAACGTTAGAAGACTCTGGAGTTAGATTGCTCGCAAAGTATCGACAACTATTGGACGAGGCCGTGAATTGAAATTTAAGAAACAAAAGATTTAAAATGATTCACTATGCAGTTGAAACGTATGAACAAACTAAAAATTGACTGAGCTATTTTTAATTTAAGCGAGAAGTTGATTGTGACGGAATACATCCAAAAAATATAACTAAATTGTACAAAAAAAATTGTGTTGAAAATATACATCATGCGGTAAATTGATATGTTTTTTTCTGTAATTAAACAATTTTTCGACAATTGATTGTTTTTAAACGCCGCGGATGAGTTAGGAGATCTATTGTATTGGGTAACCAAGAGAATGTTTAGAAATGTACACTTTATCTACAGTAACAAAAATATAACGCTCACCAAAACTTTTATTCAACGAACTATAACTTCCTGCGTAAAATGCACAAAAAACTTAATTTTCTTATCATTGTCTTACCAGGTTACAGAAACCTTGTATCTAAAAACGTTACAGAATCTATACCCTATCTTTATACAAACGAATATCTATAGCATATCTTATAAACAGTAGAGGCATTCTATATCTTAAAACATTGGAATCTTAATACATGAAAGCGCTGAGAACCTGACACTTACCATCTCAAAAATCGTATTTTAATACATGGGATACCTATAACCAATCTTAATACATGGGAAATCTATTCTCTATCTTAATACTTACGGTGATGACCAGTTACTCTATAGTCCAACTTGATCTATCGTAGGTTTTCACCCCTTCTCCCCAAACTGTCTAGCTCCAACATATACTACTTTTTTCATCACTTTGGGAACCCTTAGATGCGCTAAATATTACAGGAATTGCCTTTAACTTAATGGTATGCGGTAAAAAAAACTCTTTTCGATTAATTATAGCTCTCTATAGCGCTTTTCCCGTGATAAAGTCTTTTAGGGTTATAACAAAATCAATTGCTAAAGTAAATCAATTAAGCTAAGCATTTTTGTATCTGGTCACAACACATCCAAATCAAAACTTATCATTTTTGAGCTACTTTTTTATGCAATTTTCCTGCAAGAATAGAGACCATAATTTGAAAAGTTGCCCATATTTGTCGCACTCTATACCCCTTTGCTTCATTGTGGAAGCCAGCAATTTCTTGAGTTTTGCACGTTCCTGTCTATTTCTTTTTTGCCTTATCCACATCAGAAAATCAGTTAAAAACAGCTGTAGGTTAAATTTAAGATCATAATCATCCCAAATCAATGGAAAAAGTTTGCAGTCGACAGTAAAACGTTCATCCGTTTCTTGAAGAGCTCTAGAAAAAGTAAAACATAGATGTAAGAAACCTAGTGGATAGCCTACTTCTTCCATTTGATTCATCATAGCCAGAAAATTTGATTTAATTGCACCATCATCGATAAGTTTTACGGCTGCGACCAAGTCGTCTCCCAACTTGCATATTGAAAAAATTGCTTTTTCCGATTTAACTATAAGTTCAA